AGTCCACTTTAATTTTCCTTGTTATATGTTCTTTTTATAGAGGTTAAACATCAAATAAGCATGCCTCAGGCAATTTGTTCGAGCATGTTTGTTTTTAATGTCGACCGTGTTGAATCGAATTTTAATGAGACTTTCGTGTTACCATGTTAACATAATTTCTTTTGTTGGCCACAGAGTTTTCATTTTTCACTTGATGCTTTGGAAACCAATTAAAAATATCCCTCGAAAAAAAGCGAAGGGAACACCATGTTACATGTGCCAGGACACGGGACTCGGGATATGCATAGGATACACAGGATACAGGACACGCTTCCCTCGGCTGAGCCGGTGGCTTGTCACACCTCCCAAAAAACCAAAAAAAAAAAGGGAAAATGAGGGAAAAAACAAAACACAAACTGGCAAAAGAGCAGCGAAACCCGACTCCTCTGCAGTTGGTAAACTCCGTTGCCACAGAGTGAGTGAGTCATTATGGTGGCAACAGGGGGTTTCTGTGGCCAGGATTTGGATGGGGGCACCCAAGGGGGAGGGGATGAGGGGAGGGGGCAAAGGGTTTGACGTTGGCGCCTGTCAGCTTGTTGCAAATGAGGTTGGCCCATCTTCCCAGAAGGATGTTAGTGCGTGTGTTTTCGGGGCAGCTGCATTGTCGGGCAATTAAGCGCTGTCCCTGCCGCAAACTAAGCTGGCGGCACTGAAAAAAAAACCCGATCAAGAATCGAAATGCACTTCAAGTATTTGGGTTTTGAGAGAATTTCAAATCACCCATCGTTACCATAAAAATGTAGTACGCTATAAGTATTATTATTGTCTTTAGAAAGTACTTATACTTTATTAATATCCAAAAATGTATCTTTGTTATATTTAATTTATTATTTATTTATTATAATTTTTAATCAAAGTATACCAAAAAAAATGTAAATTCTAATTCTGAATATCAGTAAATATCTAAGCAAATTAACAAAAATACCAACAAACAAATTTAAAAAACCGTTTAAGGGACCATTTACTTCTCACGTAATAAAGGTTTTAAATCGTTTTTTTTACTCAAATTAAATTTATTTTAGTGAATTATAAGCCATTATAGATTTTTCAAATATTTGTTATGATATGTATGTAAGTGTTGAATTTTTCACTTGTGCAAAATACGCAAAATGATTTGCTGCGCCAAACAACTTTATTAGATCAACTTGTTTAAATTAACAAAATGAATGCCAAATATTTTTCATTTAATCAGAGGGGAGAGGAGACAGGGCCAAGACTGTGATGGGTCTATTTCATACCCCCAACCTCTTTTCTCCTTACCATCTTCAATTTGGGTTCATTGTCGTTGTTTCTCGTGGCTTGTAATCAAACAAATGACTGCGCCCAGGTGTTGCCACAGGCGGTGCCACACCCACCCAATAACCACCCACCCACGCAGGAGCCACTCCTCCCCCACCCCCCCTTTAAAAAGTCAACCTTATTCCTTTCAATTTGGAGGTAAAAAGTCCACCTTCCCCCTAACAATTTGGAGGTATCCCCAGTGCCCTTAAAGCTTCTTTCATTGCCTGTCAGTCTTCTGGGCTTTTGGCTTCATTTCGCTGTTAACGTGCGTTCGCCTTCATTATTGGCTTTTGGCAGGCTCTTCCTCTCGGTTGCCCCTCGTAAACCCCCATATGTCCCTCCTGCTTCCAAGTTTCCCAGTCGTCTTCCTCTTAACTTTTAATGATGCGCAATTTGTCGTTAATTTTTTGGGCATTTTGTTTTATGTTATATTTTTGCTTCTCATCGTTTTGCAGCTGAGTCTTGTCTCTATCACTTCCTGGTTTTTGGCTTCTACAGAGAGAAAAATATAGAAAGGATATGGTTTTATATTTAGTTCTAAAAATCTATTCTTAGAAATTATCTTAAAAATACTTGTAGTGTAGTGGCTGCAACCCTATTTTGGATATTAGAAACCAATTCTTATAGATAATACCCAATCTGTTTTATTACTGTGCATATACCCATTCCACTTCCGATTCGTCTTTGTTTTCTCTGCTTTGACTTTGGGGAATTTTGTTTTATGTGTTTGGGTCGTGCAAAACTTTCTTCATCGTCATCATCATTTCATTAATGGCATTTTTAGTTGTTACTCTCCATTCCTATTCCCCATTCATGTTGTTCTTGCTGCTATTGTTGATCTATGTCCTTTTTGGGGGCTATTAAAAACTGATTATGTGCTCCAATGGGATTGCGACTGCAAAGATAGCAAATAGCGGAAGCTCTAACATTTTCCATTAGATTTTCCCCAGCATTCTCAACCGGTTTCCGCCCATTGTGTTCATTAAGTTAAGCGCTCGTTGAAACTAAATGGCGCTTAAAGGATTCCAAAAACGGGGTAAAAGAAGGAAAATCACAGGGGAGGAAGAGAAAGTGGAGAAAGGGGGGCGCATTACCAGCCACGTGGCAAACCCTTTTACGACTTCATTTTCATTAGCGGAGACCGTGCAAAGTGCAAAATCCAGGCAAAAATCGTACTGCACCTAGTATACCAATCCCCCTCTTTTGGGGTGGCTGAAACTACTGCCGAACCCAAAAATAAAGCAGCCCAGAACAGAACTAACCAAACCGAACCGGAATGAGCACCAGAACCAGAACCGCCAACCAAAACAAATGCCCCGCGGCATTGTGGCAACTGTGCATCTGTTCATCTGCTCATCCAAAGCTGCAACTTCTGCCGCCGGAAGTGCTGCACTTCATCAATGGGGGAAAATGGGTGGATTTTTGGGGGCAATACCTAAAGGGATAAGCAAAAGTGTCTGGCAAACGAATACATAATCAGGCTATCTCTATACATTTTTGTTCCTCAGTTATCAGGTGTCTTTGTAACATGAATCAATTATAAAATATTATAAACCTCAGTAATAATAATTAATTTTATTCAATAAAATCTCTTTACCTTATTTATAGAAGAGAATTTTATATTTAAAAATTAAAGTTGCATTGCATATTTAAAGTGTTTATTTCAACATTTATTCCAGGCTTTAGTTATGCTATAATAATTGCATTACAATCTGATTGATACATATTCAGATTATTTTACTTATAATTTATATGCAATTTTTATAATTTCAAAGAACTTAAATATTTCAATTTGACTGAAAGTTTAATACCAGTACCTATAATTAAATTTTAAATTACTTTTTACATTTTATTTACCAAACCACTTAAACAGCAGAATTAATTGTGTGATCCATAGTATTTAAACTATTCATTGCCCATTAGTGATATTAATATTTAATAACAAAAAGCCCAGAGGCTGTTCAATTTAATATGCCACTAAAAGGCACTAAAGAGCTAAAATTTAATAATGTTTAAATATGCTTAAAATGCTCCCAGTTGCCCGAAAACACCCGAACAGCTGCAATTCCTAGAAATACATTCCACTTGCAGCAATAATTTCTGCTGCTGATACTTATTGTTATGATTGCTGAAAGAGCTGCAAAATGGAGCTCCAAATGGCAAAGGAGCGGGGGATATGGTGTTCAACTAGCTTTTAGCCAGGAGTTGGCTCATTTCACTCAACGCCCCATAAAGCAACGGGCATTGGCCCAAACGGCACTCCGCCGGCATTCCACACACTACACTCCACACTCTCTAGTGGCCAAATCCAATTGCCATGCAAATGTGCAACAATTGACAACAGAAACAGGCGCCAGACGAGTTGCGATCTTATAGATACACGAGCGGATGGCTGCGGATGAGAAGTGGGGGACACATGACGCACATGGACATGGACAGACAATTAAGTGTCAAGTTTTCCACGAACATTATAATGGTGGAGGAGCACCATGGGCGGGGAAAAGGGGAGCAACTAGTGACGACGAGTGTTTTATGCTGTTTTACATTTGTCTCGCTATGGAGCGGATCGAAGCGCGCTAAAGGGTCCTACACAGACAGAAAATTCACATCTACAATAAAAAAAATATTTTAGATATAAAAAATATATATCTATAAAATGTTTAGTCGTAAATTCGTATGCCATCTCCAGATCTCAATCAATTTACTTATTTTAAATTTTAAAAATTTAATTATGTTAAAAGTAGTTTTCTGAATGTCTAATATAGCATCAGTAAGAAATATTATACCTTACTTTATAGAAAATTGTAATATTTTAAACATATTAGGTTGGGACCAGAATTAAAAGATTTTTCGCAATATTCCTTCAGACGGAGGTGCTTCTAAAACCATTCTGGATCCCTTAGTAAACTAATTTAATTTAATAAATTTTCTTGCAGTGCAGTTGAATGCCATTGCTGTGACATTTGTCAACTGTATGGAGACGGGAACAAAAAAATCTGAGATTCAGGGGTTAGGGTTTTGGGGAGGGAGTCGCAGACAACGGGGCGTATGTGTAACTTCCGGATTTTCTTGTTGTTATTGTGCTTTTCCTTGCTTTTTTTCTGTTATTTGGGATGCTGCCTGGGCAAAGTGGATTATGCTAGTGTGTAGTGTGTGCAGTAGGAATATTTCATTTGCCCGGCTCCCCCGAAACTCCCCCACTTCCCCATTTTGGAGTCCTCTCGAAAGCGAACCAGGCAGGCAAACAATTGCCTAACAAAAGCGGCTTACATGCAACACTTGAGGCTCGCACAATTCTGGCTGTTGCTTTCTGGTTTTTGCTTTTGCTAGTTGCTTTTTGCCATTTGATGCTGCCACTGCTGTTGCTGTGGTTGCTGCTGCCAACTAGAGTCTGACTGCAGTTAAATTACAATTGTTCGCTTTGTTGCACATTTGTTTTTTCTAACGATTTTTGCGCAATTTGCATTCTACTTGGGGGTTTTCTATTCGCCATACTCTGTTCTCTATAGATAGGGTGTGAAAAAGTTTATTTGGCGGATCAAGGTCGTAATTAGTCAATAATTATAATTGGTTCAATAATACCTTTATATAAAACTAGCATATATGTCTAATCAGTTGGTTGTTAATCAATGTGCCTTCTCTTTTTTCTAGGTAATAAACTTTAAAGATGGATTTGCCAGCCAATCTTTTATTATAAGCCGTGAGTTGCTAATTTAATTTATATTTTTAATTAGTTCTGTTTAAATTATCAGAAAAAAGTATCCATTTTGAAAGAAATAGTGAAACAACCACTCTTGTAAGGGTTTTAAATCTTTCTTATGAGTAATATCAACTTAAAAGTAAATCCTTAAATATGGCAGAAATGCTAAATTTTTATATTCTTTCAAATTAGTTAAACCAAATAATATAGTAAAACATTAAAGAAACGTATAGAACTCTTAATATAGCCAGTGTAATAAACTTTAAATAAGCTTTTTAGGTTCGTGGGTCCTAATAAATCCCAAAGAGAGTATCTCCAATTCGAATCCCTTCCTTTTTTGGTTCCAATGGAGAACAGTTTCTAACTGTGTGTTCCCTTTTCATACCTTCCATATAAGTAATATGTAATTGTGTTTGGTTTGCTCGAAGGGAGATGCACACATTCAGTGGTGAAAAAAGAGAGAGAGACGGGGCTATAGAAAGAGAAAGAGAAGGGGTATTGTGGGGCTCTGCCGGCTTTGTCACAATGTTTTTTCCGCTTTTCCCCGCTGCCGTTTTGCATTGTTTTCCATCTGGTGGTGTGTGCGACAGTGTTTAAATGGTATAAAATGCTAATCGCATTTGCCCCACACGGCGTTGATTTATGCCAGTGTGTGTGTGTGTATCTGTGTGCGCAAGGATTTCTGCCTGCCATGTGTGTAGGTGTAAAGGATTAAATGGAATTTGGCTGCCAAGGCTTAAAATTTCATGTTAATTGTAACCGAATTCAAAATTAATTAATTAGTCATAAATCAGGTGTGTGCGCGCCAAAAAAAATAATAATAATCCAAAGGAGCGAGAAAAAACAACGCACACATTTCACAGCAAATGCAGAATAAAACCTACAACCAAACAAAACTCATTTGCATATGCAAGTTAACTTCATTTGCATGAAATGCGACGCTGCTTAAACTCAAAAAAGAAAAGAAAAAGGAAAACAGGACCAAAACAGTAGGGAAATGAGGAGGAAAAGGAAGGAAAGTGCTTGCACTTGGTTGACTTGGAGGACCAGGAAAAGCAACAGCAGTGGGGACTTAAAAATATTCACACGTAGCAGCCAAGTAGCTAAATAGTAAATAGACATACACAAGAATACAGTGCGTGACAAAATCCTAAGGAAAGAGTCATAAGAATTCTATACAATATAGATTAATTGGAAAAAGACTTAACAAGCATATTGTCTGGGTTATTGTTTCTCATTGAAATATCTTTAAAACTAACGAACTATGTTACACTATAAATGGTATATATTTTGAAATCTATTAAATAAAATAAATCAATAATAGTAGTAGAACATATACATTTTGCAATTCATAATATTAATTGCCTACTTAACTTGCCTTTAGAGTTATATAATGCTTTTCATGACTGCTGCTGTGCATTTTGTATTAATTAACAAAAATATAGATAAAACCCGAGTTGGTTGGCTAACTGACCTAAATGTGAAATTCCGATAAGAATTACTACTGCCACTAATGTGAAATTGGACTTCGATTGATTAATGTTTGTTCTTTTTTTAACTAAACCATAGGGTTCAGCACTACCATTTCCATCAACAAACTAATGATGATCATGTGTGTAGGTATTTAGCAAACCAAATTTAATTAGGTAATTTGATCCGTTTGCGTTCATTAGGCTTTGAATTCCAAAACGCACTGTATTTGTGCATCCTGTGCGCTGTGGTACACCAAGTACATAATGTGGGTAAATGGAATACACACAAGGAGGTCCCAAAGAGGAAGGACGAGGTTTCTACAGAGGATTGGATGGGAAAAGTTCAGGATGAGGACGCAAAGGAAGCTGCCTGCGTTCCCATAATGAAGCATCACGAACTTTTGTATTATAAGTTATTAAATTTCTGCGGCTGCCACAGCCCTTGGAGTTGTAGTTTCCGAAATGCACTGAAAGAAATAGAGGTACTCTCAGGACTTTTCCTGCTCCCTTAATTTTGTTTAATTATTCGCTACGGGCTGGAGTCAAAGACCTGCGTTCGTTTCGACCTCTTCATTATTATTCTTTCCGCCCCAAATTCATTTTCATTTGTGCAGCTCGTAAGTTTTCCCCATCGCCACATGGCATTCTGAAGTCATTTTTCCTCGGATTTCCACCAACCCTGCCTCTCTCCTTTCAACTTAATCCTTGTTAGCTTTCGCGAGAGCTGGTTTTCCTTCGTCTGTCGCGCATTTTATGCAAATTACTTGCTTAAAGCTTAAAGAATAAAAAATAAATGGCAAGTGCAGATTGGTCCTGGCAGAAAGCCAGTCACGTCACATGTGGCTGGGAAAACCAGAGGAAAATATGCCATGCCGGCTTTGGACTTATCGACTGGTTAACTTTGAACCTGGCCGAAGAAGATCCTTTTTTTTTCTTAAATGCGAGTTGCGTGACTTCTGTGCCTTTTTATTTTCGCCTGGCTCATCAAGGATGTCATCATCTTCAGAGCCCTCATCATCATCATCATCATCATCATTCGCCTTCCTGTTGACAGTTGAGCATTATAAATGCCAACGAATTGCTACCTCCGACTTTTCCTTTATCTTTATGAATGCTCTTAACTTTTCCTCAGGAGTCGGAGGTATATACACTCACCCACTTTATTAAATGGAGCATAATTTATGTGCGGAATTTCGTTTTATTGCCCGCAAAAGAGACTCATGATATGCATATCAGAAGATGCCTCGTTGAAAAGTACATTTTTTTTAGGGGAGAAGTTGTGCAGCCAGCAAGTGCTAATTGAAAGCTAATTAGGGTCCACCCTAGAAGGGGGAACCCCTTGTAATCCACACCCAACAACTTAATTCCCTTACTTCGCCTATATGTGGGTCACCCACATTTTAGTATCTAAACCAATTCAATCAAACTTGATCCAAAAAAACCACCCCGAAAACAACCCTTTGGGTCAACATTTTCAACTCCACAATCCACAATCAAGTTCAAGGCATGCATGTAATAACCAACTCAATTACAGCCCCCTGGCAATTTGCTATCGATTTAATAATTGCCTGATAAAAGAGTAAAAATACATGGTAATCGATAAAAACCATTAGCCATAAACAACCGATGAGGGGAGTGGGTGTTCTGCGTGGTACAGGAAACTACTAAAGCCATCAGCAAGAAATCAAAAATCGATTAAGCCCCTGATGAATTTCCCTTTCTCCTCTGCGGTTGGCAAAAAAGTTTTAATTACGCGCAAATAACAAAAAATAAGGAAAAATGCACAAATAAAACGTGTATCGCTGTTAATATGGCAGAAGTTCTTGAAATGTTCATCGCAAATTGCCATTTAAAATGCAATCACATTAACCCCAGACATCCTTTGATCAATTGAGCCAATTGCGGAATGCTTAATTGCTGGTGCTTAATGTGCTTTTTTCGCCATTTTTGTTTCTCTTACTTTTTTTTAATTGGTTGAGTCTGGTGCTGGAAAAAATGTATATTTAAGGACAATGTTAATTAATTTCTATAAAACAAGGCTAATTAATTTCATAAAAAAAGTTAAAGTTTGATTAAGTTTAATGAGTTATATTGTTTCCTTTGATCCTATCATATTTTATTTTCTTGTTTTTACTTATCTTCATCCCAATCTTGTTGCTTAGTGTAAGCATAACCGCCAAAAATAAAGGAAACACGTTTCATCTTCCTGTTTTGGGGCTGCATCTGAAATCTAACAGCTGCCTTTAAACGCAGATGAAACCTCCGACTGCCTGGATGACTGACCATTAATTTGAACAAAGCTAATGCCGAAAATTATATGGCCAACGGTATCCGCCAAAAGTATTTGGGTTACCCTCGAAAACGAGCAAAAAAATATAAAAAAAGAATGAAAAACGGGTTTACTAGCGACTTGTTCGCGAAATAAGTTCCGCTCCCTGGGCCCAAAAAATCGGCGAAAGACCAACAACAACAGATGTCGGCGATCGCGATCGAGTTACCTGAGATCGGGGGCCGTTTCGCTGTCCCCTACCTTCCTATATGCTGTCTCCTTTGATTTGAGCTGTGGCAGGTGCAAAAATCCAAGTCTCATCAGGGCTTTAGGGTCTCTGTTTCTGGGCACTGAAAGAAATATGGGTTATCAATTACGAATACTTGATATTTTGTAACAGAAAGAGTCATTATATATTATTATCATGTATGTTTAATGTTTAATTTCTTGTTGATAGAAAGATCTTACAAAAATATCAATTACTATTAAAAGATTTATACTATTATATATTTGTTTATAATAGAGAACTGTATAATAATGATGTTCCAAAAAATATTATTTTATATTGAATAGAGTCTTATAAAATAATAATAAATATTTCCCATGATTATTATTTTTTAATAATAAAATTCTTAAAATATAAATAATATCTTGTAAACCATAATGCATAATCATTAAATTATCGATCAAAAATGATTATACTCGAACATGATTATGGGTCTAGTAATATTATCTGGTAAGATAATGCATATATTAAGAGATTCGTTTTGAAAAATATATTTTTTCAGTGTAGGTATATCTTTTCCTTTCCCTGGCTTTGTGTCCGTTGCCTTAACTGATTTCCTTTGCGCTGGCACACCTGCTGTCCTGTCCTTGTTTGCGATCTCCCCTTATACCATATATATATCTATATACGTATATATACTCCCTAGCTGACTCACTCAGGTAGCCTGACGTGATCCTTTGTGGCCATAATGGCCTCTTCGCAATTTGTTTGCTTTGGTTGTTGGGCTCTGCGTTAATCGAAAGTGCTTAAGTCTGTATCCTGCGCAGGACTCTCGAAGATTACGATCTGCGGCTTACAGGGGACGGGTCTGGAACGGCCTCTCATCATTGTCCGTGTCAAAATAATTGCCATAAATTATTCCACTACCTGCTACTGTCTGGAAAAAACCTCGAATCACTTGAACAAAAACTAAAGTCCTTGTGAATGTGTTAATTTCTTTGACTGCCTTTGTGGAGTACATTTCTGTTGGGCG